ATGGTGGTGGTAGTGTGATGGTCTGGGGTTGTTTTGCTGCTTCAGGACCTGGAAGACTTGCTGTGATAAATGGAACCATGAATTCTGCGGTTTACCAAAAAATCCTGAAGGAAAATGTCTGGCCATCTGTTCGTGACCTCAAGCTGAAGCGAACTTGGGTTCTGCAGCGGGACAATGATCCAAAACACACCAGCAAGTCCACCTCTGAACGGCTGAAGAAAAACAAAATGAAGACTTTGGAGTGGCCTAGTCAATGTCCTGACCTGAATCCTATTGAGATGCTGTGGCATGACCTTAAAAAAGCGGTTCATGCTCGAAAACCCTCCAATGTGGCTGAATTACAACAATTCTGCATAGATGAGTGGTCCTCCACAGCGCTGTAACAGACTCATTGCAAGTTATCGCAAACACTTGATTGCAGTTGTTGCTGCTAAGGGTGGCCCAACCAGTTATTAGGTTTAGGGGGCAAACACTTTTTCACACAGGGCCATGTAGTTTTGGATTTTGTTTTCCCTTAATAATAAAAACCTTCATTTAAAAACTGCATGTTGTGTTCACTTGTGTTATCTTTTACTAATATTTACATTTGTTTGATGATCTGAATCATTAAAGTGTGACAAACATACAAAAGAAATCAGGAAGGCGGCCAACACTTTTTCACACCAGTGTATGTGATTAACTGCACAAAAAAGTACCATGCTAATTTGGAAACAACATTAATCATAATACTATGGTATTTAAAGTGCCCTTGTGTACACTACCGTTCAAAGGTTTGGGGTCAGTAAGTTATTTTATTGACTGATTGATTGAGAGAGAAATTATTACTTTTATTCTGTAATAATGAAAAAAATTGCAGTAATATTTCACAATATTACAGTTTACAATTTTTTTTAATATTTTGATCAAATAAATGGTGAAATACCCAAATTTCTAAACAGTAGTGTACCTTTAAAATACCATTATATATGTTTTATACTGCTTTGATAAATGTCATAGTACTAGATCACACAGTATATTATTTTCTGGCTGTGATGTCAGCAGTCATAATGTTTTAGCAAAATCAATTTGAAATGCTTCTGTTAATAAAGGCCCATGAAACAAGTCTTGTAAACACACCCCCGCTGTGACCCACTGTTTCAGCCATATGCTTCTCTGGGTGCTCTGTGTAAATATAAAGTGACTGCTCTTGAAGTTTCAGCAGCTGTGTTTCTGCTGCCAGTATTTCACTCAGCTTCCCCTGTGTTTGCATAGCTGTTCTTTTGCCTCCTCCAAGCCCCGAAACGCATCCTTGCACAAACATGCCCCAAAAGCCGTCTTGTGCCACTTGAGCCATGTAGAGAATGTGTACAATAGGATTAGGCAATACGGCACTGAATTATTGAATTAACTGAATAATATATGCCTGTGTTGAGCTTTTTGTTTCCAAAAATTACCAAAAAAATTACCAACAAGTACCAATTACATGGCTCTCTGGTATACCGCAGACTTATTGGCAAATCACTATTCTGAAATATATTGATTGTTATTTGTTTCTTATGGAAATGGTATCTAAAAAGAAAGACCTCAAGTCCGTAAACTGTTTGCTTCTGTGAAGTAGGTTCTTGAGGCCTGTCACATTAAAATCAAGAGGGCCGTTAAACTTCACACCTGCTGTATCTGTAGAAAGACCCCCGTGCTCTGTGTGTGTCCTCGTCTCATTCACACAAACACTGCTTCACAGAAGCATGCTCAGGCCTGCAGCATGGACGTGTTGCTCTCTGACATTAAGCAGATATTGTTTGTGCTCTTCTCTCTTCTTGGGTCTGTTTCTGGTGGTGGACTCTGGATCCTGTAACTTTCCCATAGAATGGAGGTAAGAATGTAATTTGCATCCTATTAAGTGGTACTTTAATATGCAGTATGAGCTTGTGGTCGTCTTTTCTCTATACAGTTTTGCCAAGGGTAAATCTCACAAAATCTGTTAAGAACTTCAAATCTCAAAGTGAATTGCATGACTCAAGCTGACTGCTCATGAAGAGCGTGCGTTTACACTGAGTGGAGCTGTTTTACTGGAAAGAGCCACTTCAAATTGAGTCAGTGCGTCTCTGTTGATTGAAATGATAAATGCAAACATACACATGTGCTGGACAATGCAGTACACTCCCGCCGTCAAACCAGACGTGCCATATGGTCTAAGTTACACATGAACTTAAATAAACCGAGCTATTATCCGACTGTTCAGATTCATCATCTGGATGCAATTAAAGCGAAGTTACACAGAATGAAGTAATTGTGAGAACTGCACTTTATTCCTGTCAGTTGTGCAGTGTGTACATGAGTCAGCACGCAGTCATGAGACAGTCATGAGGGACATCTTTATATGACTGAACCATTCTGTTTAGTAGAAGTCAATGATGGAGGGCAAAGTTACTCTTTGACAAATTACACACAAGATTTCATAAACACAGTTTGTTATTATTTCTGAGGAGAGGAGAGCTGTTACGTTTCAAAACCATCAGACTTAAGAGTTTTACCTGACATACAATTAAATGAGTAAAAAATGTAAATTGAAGGAGGGAGCCAAGTCATATATTGGAGCCAATGTATTTAAATGTGCTCTTTTTACTTTAGCAAGCTTTAAGATGGTAATAATATATTTCAAAATAATATACTTAAGTGTGAACTAAATGTAAAGTTTTCGGACACCTAATTCCATGTTTTTTATGGAATACTTAGTATTTAAATATATTTGTAATTGCACATCTCTAAGGATTAAGTTGCAATTAAATACATTTAAATATATTAAGTTTAAATATCATATTATAATTACAATTACAATTATAATAACTGTACATGTGATTTACTTTATATATAAATAAGTGCACTTCTTTAAAGCATGACAAAAGATTATTAAAAAATGGTTTATATTTATGTAAGGGATAATCAACGGTTTACCGTGCATTAAAGGATTTTACATGCACAATGTGGAGGCCAAGAAACACCCGACGCGAAGCGCAGCACAATCTGCGATCTCCGACCGCTCTCTCTCGCTGTGTTTGTGTGTGCAAGTGATGTGTGTTCATGTGTGTTTGTGTGCATCAATTAAAGCAGCACATTGATATGGAACAGTGATTAAACTGACTTGGTGATTTAAAACGGTTTTAATGCACACCTGCCAGCCAATCAAAATCCAGTATTCAGACAGACCATGGAATAAATAAATAAATAATATTTATTAACTCTGATAATATTGTTTATTAAATCTAAAGTTTAAGTTGAAGCACTAGAACAACTCAAGCAAAATAAAAATAAATAAAAAACATACTAAAAGTTTATAAAAACTATAAAACACATAAAAAGTGATAAAAAAGGTCAGAAACACATTTATGTAGTTTCCTACAGAAACTATGTGTAACACAATCAAAACACTTAGCAAAACACTATTTTATTCAAACATGGAGGATACACTACTGTAGGAGATATCGCTGGAAACTGGAACACACTAAACTTAAACAATACCTGGCAGTGAAACAAAGGAAACACAGGGCTTAAATACATGAGTGTCTATGCTAGTATATAAATTATACTAAAATAACACTGAATTACACTACAAGTACACATTCATTACAATTAAGCGCACTTCCTTTTAAAAGAGTTATTATTTGGACCATTAAACGGCACCCAGAACATGCGTAAAGAAGCCATCCAGAATGCCTTTGCAACCATATAGCCACCTGATAAAAACCACACAGAACACGCAGAAACCACACAGTATGTGTTTAATGTTGCATTGTGATGTCTTATCTGATTTAGACTGTACAAAGGCAGCGCAGGCTACTGCAGCACATACAGAGGCGACGTGTGTCGGAACGAGCTCCGTCGGGACGTGCTGGTGTTTTTTAACTATTCTCTTCCAAACCCGGAGGATGCTCAGGAGTACCTGGCCCAGAGCGCGTGGGGGGAGCTGGACGGGGTGAGCTCATTCTGCAGGCCCGCTGCCAGATCACTGCTCTGTCACGCCACCTTCCAGGACTGCAACCCGTCTGGACTGGGACCAGCACCCAAACCTGTCTGCAGGTAATGCAAATGAGCTGATACCATGCAGAATATACCTATACCAGAAAATATACAGTAAACCAGAAGAAGCCAAAGAAACATATAGGCTATGAGTCATTCTTTGTTGCCTGGATCAGATTTCCTAACATTGCATCAGAAAAAAAACATATCTTTACTGAAAAGGAAACAGCACTGATGAGCTGTGAAACATGAACCTGTTCACAGAATGACAACCGGATAAATTAGTTATAGATTCTGTGTTTTGACAAATGGCTGACCATTAGCTTTTCTTCTGTACTTACATGTCACCTATAATAACATTTGGAGTATAACTGATTTTTTATTAAAAACTAAAACAAAAAAATAAACATGAAATTTCAGCGTTGCCATCTACCAGTTGTTATCTAGCAGTTTCTGGAATAAAAAAATAAAAAAATAAAAAATAAATATATATATATGAAGAGTTTGCTTCCAAAACGCTATAAATCCATTTGGATTAATTTGAGTAAAAACATTTTTTCTTTACCAAGAAAGTGGCAAGATGAAAACCACTAGTTTCTGTTTCAAACTTTCACATAGCATCTTTAGGTTATAATAACATTAAAAATTCAAATCCAGATTTTGATTTTCAAAGATTTATTATAAAATTGTATACTTTTTTCCCCAAAATGCAATAAATCCATTGAATCAATATAAAAGTTATTTTTCATATTGAAATTGTTGAAAATTCACAACATAGTAAGTTGATTCACATATGACAGCCTCTGAACTTGGTCAATACTAATCTTATATACAGGCACTGGACTAAAAATACATTCAATCAGTCATAGCTCCAAAAATAATTCAACGGATCATCTTTTTAATGCTATAAATTAATTACAACAATAAAAGCACATTTAATTATGAACATACATGAACAACAATATCACATTAAACCACAGAAATTCCAAAATGACATTTCCTTTACATTCAACTTCCAAAAGTGCATTCATCTTTGCCATGTTACATTCATTTAGTTGACTAGTGCTATA